GGTCCTTGGACCCTTAGGGAATTTGTTGAAGCTCAGACACGTGGGTTTTGTTAGTGAAGGGCGTGTCACGGTGTGGGCTTGAGGCTTTGGGATTGGGGCTCAAGGATGTAGGGTCAGCGGTTTAGGGTTTAGGGTTCAGGGTATTTTGGGATCCGGAGTTTAGGATTTGGGGTTGAGGACTCAGGGCGTATGGACCACTCTACCTTGCAAACATGCTCAGCAAGCATGCGCTCCGCGGAAGGTTTTCCCCTCTGAGCTGACTGCGCTGCTGTCCTTAGAGCACGACAGGGGTGAATGGCTGCCGCGCCTGCCAAAACTCACCCTCCCAAGGCCTACTTATGCAGCTATCTTGGGGAGGGGGGTAACCCTAAACCCTAAACCCTAAAGATCACCCTGTAGGGATCCTCAATCCTGCAAATCCTTCCTGCAGGGAGCCTGCGGTTGGTGAGACATTTCCTCTGCATCCATTTAGTGTGGGATACGGTGGATACTAAAAATCCTGCATGGCCCTGAGTACCTTATACCTTGAGAAATGTAATACTGATGTATATGAGGGCCATTCAGGAGTTTCAGTATCAACAGTATGAGACCCTAACGTTCCGATACGAGGACCGTCATAAGTGTATAGCGAGGCTTGCAAGGTCAAATAGCCCATCCTGGATCAAGTGAATGCTCTTCAGAAATCAATCAACTTTACATAGCGAATCAAATGAAACAGGAGGAATTGCGTGAGATGAACGCGCTAACACATGTAATTCATTAAATTCATTCATTAAGTTCGCTTACTGCATTAAATTCATGAACTCATTGAATTTGCGTCCTTCACAAACAATGAGGGCCAATGTACCAATTTGGGATGTAGCTCTTTCTGCATACCATTGAGACCATCCCGCATGTTCAGGCTGCTGGTCTTTGCCAGTATTGCTGCCATGGCCACGTGCTGCTTTATGTTGGCCCGTCTCAACGCTTATTGGTTCGATGTGAAAGGAGTAACACTTATGCCGCAAATCTTTCTGGCCAGAGCAGCATCAGCTCAGATTTCGTAATGAACGTCCTCTTGCCAGTAATGATCGGTCTGCATCTGCCCCCGACTGCACCCGCCGCCCGAAGCAAGATGGCAATATCAGCGAAGCCCTTGTCATCTGCACAGTTCAGGGCCGTTTGGCCGTTGTGGTCCTTCAAGTTGACGTTGGCGCCGGCTGCTAGAAGCAGCTGAATAATCTCCATGTGGCCTTGGTCACATGCACAGATGAGACCTGTCTTGCCAGAAGGGTCCACACTGTCTTTGTCCACTCCGGCTTCCAGCAGCAGGTGGGCAATCTCAAGGTAGCCATCATGGCATGAGCTGACAAGACAACGATCCATCTGGTCTGCGTAGGTTCCCATGTACTCAGCGCTCAGCAGCAAGCGCACAGCCTCAGCGTCGCCCACGCCTGCAGCGTGATGCAGGGCCTCAACGGCTTCGAGACCGTGACCAATGCCGGCCTCCAGAAGCTTCTTTGCTAGCTCAAGATGGCCACTGTAACATGTTGAGAACAGAGTCATGTCGCAGCACGGGAATCTGGCTTCCAACAGCAGTTGCGCAATCTCAATGTGGCCTGCTGCACAGGCGCGACTGAGCGCTTCTTCACCTTTGTCCCAAATGCCGCTTAAGGCACCTGGGCTGGCACCAGCATCCAAAAGCACGCGCAAGGTCTCAGTTTGGCCCTTCTGTACGAGATCCAGACACTACTCCTCCCCAAAGCTAGAGACTTGTTGCAGCACAAGCTGCACATCCATGGGTGAATCCAGTGCTTCAGAATCTTGAAGAATCCTGTTGTTGTGCAGAAGCTGCTGTATGCATGCTGGAAAACCATATCCATCGCACAGACGGCATTTCAGGGCTTGCACGCAGGGGAGCTCCTCGAGAGGTATTGCCGCAAGCTCTTCCCCTGAAACCTTCCAGATGCGAAGCATCCTACAGAAGTACAGTTTCCCGGAAATAGAGACAATATAGGGTATATGGGGATCTTATTATAATATACCCAAAACCATTTTCTTAAGGGGGACTGTAAGCCCGTCAGCGCTCATAAGCCAAGATGGCTGTACAGTGCGAGAAGTTCTGATCCTGTTGCTTCTGCTACCCTTACGAATGTCAGGCAGAGGGGTATAAGAATGGAAAAGAAATCCAAACTACTATAGTATAATAGGGTATATATACGGGAGAATGGAAACGAAAATGGAAGCTACTATAATATGGTAGGGTATATATACCGGTTATATACGGGAGAATGGGAAAGAACATGGAAACTACTATAGTATAATAGGATAATTATATATATATATATACGGGTTCTATAGGGGATAATGGGAAAGACAACGGAAACTACTATGCAAGCATTTGACAACATACCTTGGTATACCGTGGAGGAATGAGGTAGTTCAAGGGAAGAGGTACAGTCACTTTTGCTGGCCTAAGGGGTGCGTAGTAGGTACCATTGCAGGGCTTCTGGGTTGTAGTACACTAGGATTTAGGGTTCAGGGTTTAGGGTTTAAGGGTTTCGGGCTTAGGGTTCCTCATATGTCCCTGGCAGTAATTAAGGCTTACTTGGCGGCGCTCTTGATTGCAAGCAGTGTATGCCTGCTACCGAGCTCAGCTGGCAGTATGAGGGTTTCTCAGATGGTGACACAAGAATGTATGGGGATTTGTAGGGGGACCTTGCAGGTCCGTCTTACTGTAGGGATCCTAAGGGTAATATACTGGAAAAGAAAATGGAAACTACTATAGTATCATAGGGTATATACATATATATACATATAGGGGTTATATGTGGGATAATGGAAAAGAAAATAGAAACTACTATTTGAAGGCCTATTTTGAACGCAGGTTCTTTTGTGCCAGAAGAAAAATGCCTGTTCCGCAGTCGACACGTGCCAGGAACTTGTGGTCCCAGATCCCGGACCCTGAAATCTAAGCTCCCATAGTCCCCCTTATTCAGGGGTCTAGTCCCTCTCAAGTAGATAGAATATGGGGTTTAGGGTCATAGTCCCCCTTAAGTAGATAGAATATGGCTTTGGGTATTTATAATAAGGTCCCCGTATACCCCATATTTAATCTACTTAAGGGGGACCATAACCGTGGGCTTGGGCATATAAGGACCCTTGGATTCAGGGCCCATTCCAGGGACTTGCATTCAAAAGTCTTAGGTGAACAGACCCAATAAACTGACTAACTCCAGAAATCTATGCCTGAGCTGCCGTCATGTCTTGACCGTCACGTGGGGAATCGTCCAATTACGTGTCGAGGTCCAGGCCCGGGGTATTTAGTAAGTAGGCTACAAATGGGGCTATATGCCAACTCCACTTCTGGGACTTGTTGCTTAGCAAGTTTCTTGGGCCTCTGTGTGGGTAGTTGTCAAAATTATGGCCCCTTTTTTGGATCCCTATATAATATGGACTTAATGTTCAGGGTACCCAAGAAGGGGACCATAATTTTGACAACCATCCATGTAGGGGTGTTCGATTTGTTGGTTTCAGCAGAGCTTCCCAAGGCAAAGCAAGATCCATCAATGACTCAACCATCCATTCCTGTAAGCTATTCCTCGGCGAGCCCTATACCATAATGATCCATTGGCAAAGGGATGCCCCTCAAAGAAGGCAAATGACGTCCAACAAAAACAGGCCAATGCCCGTCCTGTTTCTGTCTTCGCAACTATGTATCCCATAAGCCATCCCAAAAAGCAACCTTAATCATGCAATGCTGAGCGCCCTCTAACCCCTAGCAGCTCGAGTTAGGCTCCAGACACTGATGTCTCAAAATTCTAAACCCTAAATCCTGATGCTCCAACAGGACATTCCCAAAATTAGGGGTAACTTTTTTCGGGGGTCTCCATAATCAGGAAACTAGAATAAATGGGGCTCTATATGGGGTTTACCCCCCCCGCATTTTGGGAAACTATCAAATCTAAATCCCAAAACCCCAAACCCTAAACCCCTAACCCTGTTACCACCGTTATTTTGGGACCAAATCTCTGTGAGCCGGACCAGTGCAATCACTGCCGGCTTCCGCCCCTGCCCATACCAGGATGGGATATCACCATCCCCCAGGCTACCAGGGGCCTTACATGGGGGTTTAGGGGTTTAGGGTTTAGGGGTTTATGTTTTAGGTTGCAGGGTTTAACCCTAAACCCTAAACCCTGTGGGGTTTGGGGATTAGGGTTTGGGGTTTAAGGTTTAGGGCTTACCAACCCCTAGACTCCCTGAACCCCAAAAGTATGTACCTACTTTTGGGGCCCGGGTAGCAGGAATTTAGGGATAGTTAAGAGTCTAGGGTTTAGGGATTAGCATTTGGGGTTTAGGGATTAGGGTTTCCCAAAATATTGTGAGTACGCTTTTGGGGGTCACAAGGACAAGGATTATAGTATTTTGGGGTCTACATTGGGGTCACTTGTTTCAGGTCCCATCTTAGCTTGGGCGAGGGTAGGCCGTGTGGGCCCCTGTATCTACCCTGATTTGGATACTTATAGGGAATTGTCGGATCCAATAGAGCATGCTTGTAGCAGAGAGTAGCTCAAGGCTTCCGGTTACCTAGTTTGGGGTTTAGGGCTTTAGCTTACAGCCAGGGATGTGTTGCCTAGGACTCATGGCCAATGGTTTTGGCTTTGTAATTTGGCTTTCGGTGTTGGAGACCAGGATCTGTTAAGGATGCAGGGCTGTACTGGCTCTGGGCTAGAGTTATGGGATTGGGGCTAGATGCAATTGCATTGATGAGCTCTTCCGTTGCAGGCAATGAGTAAGGATGAAAACATGGGATTATCATTGTAGCGGTGGCGCGTGTGATGAGACCTGGCCTTTTTATGGTTGTACCCGTACTCTGATCCGGGCTTTTAGGACGGGTTCAAAGCCAATCCCTGAACCGCAGCTCCTTATCCCCGGGTCTCACAAGGAAAGGATCAGGGTGTTCTTGGAGGCTCGGGAGCCCTTGTGGACACTATGGAGCTTACCAAGGGACGATAGGGGTCCCTCTTGGGGTTGCCTTTCTAGGAATTCTGAAAGGATCATGGTCAGAAACTCCACAGTTTGAGTTTTCGAGTCTAGTTTTGAGGGTTTAGGGTGGGATTAGAATGAGGGTTCTATAGGGTTATGTATAGAGTTATATAGGGATAATGGACAAGAAAATGGAAGCTACTATTTAAGGTTTAGTTGAACCTACGCTACTCGCGGAAATCCAAAAGCTTGTTCAAAGCCCGCCCCCCTAACCCTAAGCCCTAAACCCTAAACCCTAAACCCTAAAAACAAGGTTTCCTGAAATGCCTTAGGGATGCTGACAGATTACCAGGAAATTCTGAGGTCCACTATATAATACAAGGGCTAGGTCGAGAAATAGCCAGATGACCGGAGTTCCGGCATACTTTCTACGATTGTTCTATATTCTATTACAGTTCTATAAGGGTTCCAGAAAAATAATGTGGTAAATTATTTGGGCGTTACATTGAACTCTCACTACAAACCACCCCATAATCCCAAATTCCATTTCATTTTACATGCTCATGTTCACTTGATTCTCCGCTTCTGGGGTCATATGCCTTAACCCTAAAACAGCCCATAGGAACTGTTCTCAACCCCTATATGATCCCTATAGAATCCCAACTCTAAACCCTAAGTATTGCTACAGTATCTACATCAAATGGGAAGCTGCCTCCTCAGGAGTTAGGCATCTGCGGCAGATCGTTGCCTTCACTGCTGTCTTGGTACCAAATAAAAAATGGGGCACCCCATGGACGCCAGGGATAGCTGGTCCTTATTGGGGGTTTACAGGAAAACTCCGCCGAAAAGCTCAGCAAGCACTTCTGGCATTCTGACCTTTCTCTATGTACTGTCCTAGATAGTAATTACGAAAACTCTAGTGGAATTTGGAAGTGCTCTGCAGTGGCAAAGGGACGCATATCAGACTGATTCCCTTTCCATACTTTTTTGCAAACAAATGCAGATGCACAGTGAACTCCTTCATCTGGTGGCCTGACAAGGAACTTAGATTAAGTGACCATAATTTGGATATAGTTTGGTGGTCAGGTTTAGGGTGGTTTCATTCTATGGATATAGTTTAGGGTTTAGGCGTAGGGCAGATTCATCATTCAGGCTGAATATGGTATCCCTAAAACAGGGGACCCCAATATAGACTCAAAAAAACTAACATCCTTATTCTAGGGAACCACAAAAAAGTAGCCCTAATTTTGGGACCACCCTTTATGAGCTATAGTCTAAACTCCTAGTATCCGCCCTAAAAAGCCCTATAGTAGTCCCCTATACAATCCCCTACATAACCCCCCTTTAAGGAGTTCAGACTACAGCTCAAATGAGTAGCGATTTTTTGGTGGTTGACCCTAGTAAGATTATATTCCTTTCAAAATTCTATACCCCAAAAGGAAAAGGAGTATATATATATATAATATATATATAGAAATAAAATACTACTCAAATAGCAAATGCTTAACACCAACCCAGTCATCTTGGAAGGCATGGCTGAACTCCTACCCTTCGCGGGTGCCTGATGTTCCATATGTCTATACCTGAACCCCCAAAAGTCTGTAGGATAATAGCCTTTTGGGCAATGTTTAAGAGTTTGGGCTATGATTTTACCTACTTTTGAGGCCCAGGTATATATATGTATAATATATGT